AACATTCTCTTTACAGATAAATTATGCTTATTCAGGTTTATAGACCGAATAATCAATTTAATTTATACTGTCCTGTTTATGTAAACATTTCAATAACTTATGTATTACTATACTAATGCTACTCTTAGCATACAGCACAGATATTTTAAAATGGGCATATCCATTAATTCATGAGGCGGCTTATAGCCATGGCATACATCAGCACTAAGTCTAGTACAGTTTCATTACTAAGTGTACTAGTCTATTTATGTTTATACTGCTGTTTTAGTACAATAAATATTCCATTATATTTACTTCTTCTTTATTGGGTCATGCCGCAGGGTGGAGATGGCACTGTTTCTGGTGGTACGTCAATTATGATTAAATAATTTATTTTTTTCATATTTTATTCGTATTTATACCTTTAAAGTGAAGCTTAGTTTTTATAAATATAAAAGCAGATGATTTTTACTAAAACTATTTATAATTTCATTATTTATTTAATCCATGAGTACAGTTGATAGATTATAATTTAGGGTTATATCGGGTTATAATATATCATATTCCTTATCTGATGATTTTATTACTATCTTACCATCAGGCATTCTTATTTCTTTAATACCGAATGGGAATGTTCTTTCTATTTGACCATTTTCAAATTCGTATGTTATTATTGACGTATTAATATCGTATAAGTACTTGTACTTCTTCTGCTTATGTATTACGTATACGGATCCATCTGATAGAGTGTACTTTACTTTATTACCCTTTACTTCTTCTTTACTTTTTACTTTTTTCTTACTGAGTACTTCTTCATATTCTGTGTTTAGTCTTTTTAGTCTGTCAATCTCCTCTTTTAAGATATCTGTTACTCTGACTTCTTTTTCTTCTTTTATTTTCCTTATTAGTCTGTCTATAACTGACAGTCTTTCCTTTAATATACTGTCCATTCTTTTTATTTAGAAGTAAAAGTTTTAATAATTATGAACAGAAAGGTAGGGACTGTTACAGTGTTAAAGAAGGAGGAGATGCACTCAGTGCAACAGGAGAATATTAAAGCATCAATATTCCTGTCTAATTTAATAAGGAGTTGTATAGGGCCACGTGCCATGATTAAGATGATACTCACTCGGATAGGCACTATTGAGCTAACCAATGATGGAAACAGTATATTAAGAGAAATAGAAATATCTCATCCTGTAATAAAGTCATTAATTGAACTATCAAGGACTCAGAATGAGGAGGTTGGTGATGGGACTACTTCAGTTGTTGTGCTATCCGCTGAGATACTTAAGAACATGGAGGGATTATTACGCGAGGAGTACCATCCAGTATTTTTATGCAATGTTTTAAAGAAAATATTAGACATTCTTCTGGTTAAGCTCAAGAAGTATTCAATTGACATCAGGAACAAGGAGGAGATGGTTAGGAAGATTGTTAATTGTGGGTTAGGCACTAAAATTGCCAAGTACATATCTGACTTAGACTTAGAGTCAATTGCCATTCAGAGTGTTAATATGATTAAAGAGAAGAACAATGAAGTACACACCAAGAACATAAGGATTGAGAAAGTCCCAGGTGGTAAATTATCTGAGAGTATGGTATTCGATGGGATAATTATTCAGAAGAGTTTATTAGACTACACCATGCGCAGTAAAATTGAGAATGCCAAGATTCTTTTAATTGACTTCCCATTAGAGTACAGAAAAGGAGAAAATCAGATGAGCATAGAAATGCACAACAGTGAAGTGTTTGGCCGCGCATTAGAAGTAGAGGAAGAGCAGATTGAGCGCATGGTCAATCTTCTTGCGATTTGCAAGCCAGATGTAGTTGTATCTGAGAAGGGAATCTCTGACTATGCGATTGCACTGTTTAAGAAGCACGGAATATCTGCGATCAGAAGAATTAAGAAATCAGAGAATCAAAGGATTTCACTTGCCACGGGTGCTTTAATTGTATCTCGTGCAGAAGATGCAACTCCCCAAGCACTTGGCACTGCCGGTCTATTTGAAGTTTCCAGGATCGGTGATGAGGAGTACTGTAAGTTCATCAAGTGCAAATCCCCCAGGGCATGTTCTGTTCTTCTAAGGGGTCCATCAAAGGACATTATTAATGAATTAGAAAGGAACATGCAGGATGCACTAGCCATAGCCAGGAATGCGTACTGCTCTAATTCAGCTGTTCTTGGTGCAGGATCAATTGAAATGGCTCTAGCACACGAACTTGAGACTGTACAGGGTCTGTCTGATAAAGAAAAAAAGGTGTACATGGCAGTTGCCGAAGCACTTCATGCAATCCCTGCCTGTCTCATTGCAAACAGTGGCAATACCAAGCCATTAGTAAAACTACTTGAACTAAAAGCACTGCACAGTAAAAAGAAGCACATGTACGGTGTAGATGGTAATACTGGTGAGATAGTTCCGACTGAGGTATACGAGTCGATCCTGGTTAAGGAGCAAAGTTTAAAGTCGGCAATTGAAGGTGCCATTATTATCCTACGAGTAGATGGAATTGTAAAGCAGGAATGATTTTTATTTCTGTATTACTAATAATTAAAGGATTCCTTTTATGATATTTTTAGGGTTATTCGGGTTATTTAATATTTAAATATTAAACGAGTACTACGTTATTATTGAAAATGTACACTTTTTATATTTTATTTAAATGAAATTTATGAATATTTCTGGTTCCCAGGGTGTAATAACAAACAAATACATCCACTTTAAATAGAACAATACCAGAACTTGTATGAAACAGAGTGACCGACTCCTACCAGTAGCGAACGTAGCTGGAATAATGAAGAAAACCATCCCAAAGAAAGCCAAAATATCCAGGGATGCAAAGGAGATGATGCAGCGTGCAGCATCTGAGTTTATTGCATTTATTACGTGCAAAGCCCAGGACTTGTGCAAATTAGAGAAGAGGAAGACTTTGACAGGAGACGACCTTGTACTAGCAGTTGAGCACTTAGGTATGCCCTTACACGCTGATGCCGGCAGAAGAGTATTATACAGGCTAAGAGAAGGCCATCAGCATGACCAAGACATTTACATTCAAGACTCTGGCGCATCCATTCACTGGAAGCCGTATCAGCAAGAATAAATTTTATTTCTACAATAAATAGCTGATAATTAAATTTATAAATACCCGTTATTTATAATAATTTATTATTTCCTTATTTAGCAAGTGCACCGAATTCTTTATTCCACTCTTCATAAAAAACGAGTTCTTTTGTTGAAACACTTTTCCGAATGTGTTTCATAGCAGAAATGAAATCTTTCATAAGAATCCCCCGGAGTGTCTGCATGTTCTCTAATTCTGTGATTTCTCTGACGGGTTCCATCGCTGCTTCTCTGCACAGGTTGTATATGTCAGACCCAGAATATCCTTCTAATTTCTCAGATAAGTCATTTATTTCCGTATCTGAGAGTGTACAAATATCCTTGGCTATCTTCTTGACCATCTCCTTTCTACCTTCTTTGTCCGGGAGTGGTACATACAGTCTCTTTACAAACCGTCTTCTTGCTGCTTCATCTATTTCCTGTGGCCTATTTGTAGCCCCAATCACCAGGACATTATCTTTACTCTGTTTTGCTCCATCCATTTGTACAAGGAATTCTGTTTTTATTCTCCGGGTACTTTCATTCTCTCCTTCTGTTCTTTGCATGAGGAGAGAGTCAATTTCATCAATGAATACAACAGAAGGGGCCATTTCAGTTGCAACAGAGAAGAGTGCACGTACCATTTTCTCACCTTCACCCACCCATTTTGATGTGAGTGTAGATGCACTAATTGAAAAGAATGTCGACTGTGACTGACTTGCAATACATTTACCTATCATTGTCTTACCTGTCCCCGGTGGTCCAAATAAGAGGAGTGCTTTAGGTGGCCCTCTTAACCCTTTGAAAATATCCGGCCGTATCATGGGCCACACTACAATTTCTTTAATTGCTGTTTTTATATGTGGTAGTCCTGCAATATCCGTCCAGTCCACTTTATCCCTTGGTGATAAAACTTCATTCCTTATTATCTCCAAGAATTTCTTATCCAGATTCGTTGCTTTGTCTAATTCTTCTTCCTTCTCCGATGGTTTTGTCTTTTTAGGCAGTTTATCACTTATCTCAGGCGGTAAAAGATCTTTAGCAGTTGAAAATGATGAATTCTCCATCGGTGGATTCCTGCTTGGTTTGCCACTTACACTCTCATTGGATACTCTATTACTCATAAGTGTACAATTAGCACACTTTACAGGATTATCCGTACTTTTAAGAGTACTTGGGCTTATCCTGTTCTGTACACTAAGGTTCACTTCAAATGTATTAACAAGGTCTTCTACCTCACTTATTGTAAGAATCGGGTGTAAATCAGTATAATCGTGTATAAATGGAATATTCTCTGGTATTCCTACAAGTTCATCAAGGTATAATGAGCAGTCATTCAGAAGTAATTTTTTCTCATTCTCATTTAAGTACTTTCTATGGTTATACGGTGATTTATACTGTGAGTCACTTTCTTCCAAGAGTCTTTGCTGTGTAAAGAAATTCTTCTGCATTAAATTTTTAGAATATGGCTGAATATAACAGCAGTACATCAAAGGGATTTATTGAGTATACGAAGAAAGAGGCACTTAATAGGTACTACAGTATATGGAATCAGTTATACAACACATTAAGCACTGAGGAGTCGATTACTCTTATTAAGAACAAATTAAGTTCAAAAAAAGGGGGAGAAATTGTGTTAGACACTTGCTCTGAGGTAATTGAGGATGTCGACAAAGGGAATGATTCATTTATTGGGTTATGCGATTTAAACATGGACAGTTTATTAACGATTCCTTCTTCAGATGTGGAAATCAAGGGCCCAGTGGAAATAACTGAGAATACTTCAAGGGGACGTGTAAAAATAACAGAAAATAAAAACCCGTCAGAAAATAAAAATCGTAAAAGGCGGATTAGTAAATTAGTGGTGGATGAGAGTGATTTAGAGGAAGTATCTAGTGATTCTGATGGTTCTGATGATGGGAGTGAGTATGCCGTATCTGGTGATGAGCTGAGTGATGATTTCAGTGAAATATCGAGTAAGTACAAGGAGAGTGAAGATATTTTGTATAAATTAGAAGACTCTGTTAGTAAAGAAGAAGAGCCTGAGGGCGTCCTTGGGGTTGATTTTAACCCTAATGGAATAAAGAGGGTTAAGTTGCATAAGAAATTTAATCAATAAATCCGTTATTTTTATGATTATTTTATTTCGGGTTATATGGTGCTCCCTTTAAATTTACGTATTCAGTAATTACCGTTATTTTTATAGGTCGTATATAGATACTTGTACGATTTTTGGTACTCCCACAATATCTCTTTCTAATCTGTAGAAGTATTCAGTACATTCTGTTGCAAGTAATTCCCTAACAAAATCTTCATCGTGTGTAATTACAAGCAGTTGAAATCCCCCCTCTGCTTTTCTTGCCTGTATAATAGAAGAGAGTGCTTTAGCTAGTCCAGATATATTTGCACTGTCTAAATTAGTCGTTGGTTCATCTAGTGAAAGAAATCCACAGTTTAAACTGAATGCTTCAGCAAGTGCGAGTCGTATAACTATCGATGCTAAAACCTTCTGTCCTGCACTGACTCTTCCCCTCATATCTATCTCAATCCCATTCTTTACCATAACAAGACTGTACGATTTGTCTAAATGTGATACAATTTTAATCTCATCTATATCCGTACCTTTATATGCCAACCCCCATATCTCCTTAATTATAGCATTAACTTCTGCTAGTTTCTCTGAGTGGTACCTAACAATAGCTGCCTGTACACCTTTTATATACTTCTCTAAATCAGAAATACTTTCTTTAAGCACTTTTATCATGATATAAGCTGATAATTCATCTGATTCAGCTGTACAATGTATTTTTACATCTGATTCATCCTCTTCCTTCTGCTTTTCTAAGTTATACTCTTCTCCTACACACTCTGAAATTATCTTCTGCTCTTTCATAATACACTCTTCTAATTTCTCTATTTCCTCCCGTACGTGATTAAGTGTGTCCTGCGTAGAAATACATTCCTTCACTTTCTCTGATAAAATTGCTGCCCTTATGGAGTCCTTAATAAGCTGCTTCTGCGTATGAACAGCCATTACCGCAGTAATCCTATTGTTAATAATATTCCTCTTTTCTTCTACTTCTATTAGTTCCTGTTTAAGAGAATTTTCTCTATTTTTATGACTTTCTGTATATTTTTTTTTTGACAGAATTTCAATTTTTATGAATATTTCACAGAATCTTTCCTTTACAGAATTGATTACCATGAGATTATTGCTTGGAATTTTAATTTCCTTTAATAATTCCTTGGTTTTATAATATATTCTTTCATTCTCTGTGATTTTCCTTGTTAATTCTGTCTTTTCTTGTAGTAAAATAGTAATTTTTGACTTTTCTGATTCTAGCAGGGAATATTCCTTCTCTAATGAAACTGATTCTTTTTTGTATTTGCTCTTCTGCTCAATTCGTTTTTCTATTTCTTTGATTCTGGTGCGTAATTCGTTCTTTTTATTTTCAAATTCAGTGTACTTCTCCTGTTCTTTCTGTTCTAATTTTTCTATTCTCTGTAGTTCTTCTAGTTTCTCTTTGTACTTCTCACTGATTGTACCGTATGAATCACTGATTAAGTTGATTTTATTCTCTCTATTTTTAAGAATTTCTATTTCTTCGTATTTATTCTTTATGGATTTAATTGACCGTAGCTGTTTATTCAGTGTATCCAGTAGAATAATCCATTCTTCAACTGTGTGAGTATCTTCTGCTTCATCCTCTGCTTTTATATTTTCAAGTATAAGGAGAGAAGATAAATTATTCAGAATAATTCGTATTTTGGCTTGTTCCTGCTTAAATTTAGTATTTTCTTTCTCTATGACTAATTCTTCTTTAAGCTGCTCTTTCTTGTTTTTTATGCACTCTAAAATATTCTTTATTTTCTGCACGTGTCCTTTAGAAATTCCCGTACTAATAAAGGATTTACAGAATGGACAGCCATCTTCTGCTCTACTAAGGAATTCTTCATATATTTTCTCAGATGCTGAAATACTTCCCCATTCTTCGTATAATTCGTACAGGACATCTTGGAATTCTGTATGTACGTTTATATTGCACCCTTCTTTTATTTTCTGGAGTACTTCTGAGCGTGTGATTACGCTTCCACTAGAAATAAGCTCACCGGAGATTCTGTCAATGAGTGTTTTGGACTTTTCTACTTTTGCCTGTTGTAATAATTTATTTGCCATTTGCTTTGACTCAGATACCATTTTATTGTGTAAGTACTTCTGCTGGTTCGTTTGGATTTCTTTTATTTTTGTGTCCAGCACTGTGATTTTCTTAACTAGAGCATCTTCACACTGAATAATCCCTGGTAAGCCCGGACTTAGTTTTATCTCAGATGGGCACGGAAGGAATTCTAGTTCTTTCTCTTTTCTTTTGATTTCTTCTGCTAAGAATTCTTTCTCTTTCCTTTTTTCTGTTTCTTTCATGCATATTTCTAATTTCTGCTGTAACTCTTCAATCTCCAGGAACACTTTGTCTTTGTTATATTCTGTCTTAGTATAATTACTGTTAATTATATTCTCACTCTCTTGTATCTCAGATATAAATGATACATCTTGTTCATTTACGTCTACGTCTAAAATACTGCGTATCTCTTTAGACCTAAGAATAACACTTCTCTGTTTCTCTTTAAGAATTCCTATTTCCTCTGTAACTGTTCTTACGGTTATATCTTTCTCTTGAATTTTCCTGTCTAATATTTCTTCAAGCTTTTCAATCCACACCCTTACATTCTCCATTTGGCAAACCTCATGGTCTACTAATGCTTCTGCCTCTATGGGTGTATCAAGTAAGACATGATTTATACTGAACTCCCTGGTTTCTTTCTGTAAGGTTTCTATTTGACCAGTAATCAAGGAAATAGTTCTATCTGTGGATAAATCCTTATCTGTACTCTTTATGCCTGTTATTACATCAGATATAACCGTACATGCTTTATCTAAATACTCCCTGTTATTTTGAACCTTCTCTAAGATAAGCCCTAAATTCTTCTTCTTCTCCTCATTAAGACTTTCTATTTCCACTCTGCTTTCTTCAATTGCCACCTTCAAATCCTCAAATTTCCTTATTTTCTCAACTATTTCATTCATCTCAATTTCTAAAATACTCGCTTCATGCCTTAATTCCTCCGCATCCTCTACACACGTATTCGGCAGAATACTTTGCAATTCCACCACACTCCCAGATAATAATTCTTTTGTGGATAATCCTGCTAGTTCTGATTCTGCTTTCTCTTTCTCCCTTACCTCCGAAAGTGCATGCTCGTACTTCTTCTGGCTCTCCTTCAAGTCAATCTGGAATTTCCTCAGCCTTTCATTTGACACTTGTGATAATTTCCGCACAACCAATAATCTCTCCGTAATCCTTGCTATTCTTTGTTCTATTATATGCTTATTCTGTGTCTTCTGCTGTAAATTCTCATATTTACACTCCAATACCTTTAATTCTCCTGTTTTCTCTTTTCTCAGCACTGTCAGTGCATCAATCGCCTTAATAAACTTCGTTGATGAGAATATTCCGTCCATTTTCTTCTTGACCACAGAAGGATCCCCTAATGGCCACGTGGACTCTTCCTGATGCACAAATATTACACTCTCTAAAACAGAAGGAGTACTCCCCAGTAGAATAGGCACTTCAGAATCAACTTCAGACAATTTGTTGCAAATCATCCTCTTACCACTCTCCGTCACTTGCCACAGAACACTTTCAACCGTCTTTGTTTCTCTTTTCGTTTTCCCAATAGTCTGTGACATACCCCGCACTACAATATACTCCTTACCCTCACACGACTTAAATTTCATCATTATCTGTGCTTTTGTCTCCCTCTCCTGTGATACTCTAGGATCATGCACAAATGCCCCATTCTTACTATTAGGAGGAAGTGCCCCAGTCGTTGCATATTTCAATGCCTCAACTATAGTGGTCTTGCCAGTCCCATTATGCCCTACAATCAGTGTAAGTGGTGTCTGCATCTCAATCGCTGCCGGGTACTCCTCAGTAAATGACCTAATCCCTTTTATTTTCAATTTCCCAATGACCGACATAATTTACTTTTTTAAATTTATTTCCGTTTATTAATTTATGCCAAGAAATATTTATGCTCTAATAATGACTTAGCTGATGGCCTATCCACAGGATTATACACAAGAATATCACTGACTAATTCATGCTGGTCTTTATCCTCAATCCCCATCCCGATCGGTTTCCAAATGGGAAATTCCGGCTGGAAATTCTTCAGGGCCGTGACACCTGCCCATACGGTCTCATTCGGCGTACCGCGTATTTGGAATATCTTGTATATCTGGTCGATCTCTGAGTCCCCAGGGAACAATGGCTTTAATAGTATAAATTCAGATATAATGCATCCGAGTGACCACACGTCAACTGCCGTGGAGTAATGTTTAGCCCCCAGTAATAATTCAGGTGCTCTGTACCAGAGTGTGACTACTTCATTCGTGAGTGTATGCAGTGGTATGCCCACACTCCTTCCCATACCAAAATCAGCGAGTTTCAATTGGTTATTCTTTGTTATAAGGATATTCTGTGGCTTTAAGTCTCTGTGGAGTACTCCGACTGAGTGGCAGTAAGCTACTGCGGATGTCAGCTGGTGCGAGAATGCTTTAATTTGATGGTGTGTGAGTGGTTTTCGTTCTCTTCTGAGTGCATCCAAGTATTTCTTTAAGTCTGTCTCAGCGTATTCAAAGACCAAGTACAATTTATTCTCTGTGTAGACCACCTGGTGCAGTGCGATTATATTCGGGTGCTTAATATCTTTAAGGAGGGATATCTCTCGGATTGTTGTTGCTGGCACGCCTTCTCTGTCATCGGTCAGTCTGACTTTTTTTAGTGCGATGATTTTTCCTGTTGTTTTCTCTTTTGCTTTGTATACCACGCCGTATGTCCCCTCACCTATTTTCTCTATTTTTTGGAAAGTCTCTGTCATGGGCGATAAAATAATATGGAAAATATACAAAAAGAACGCTTCCAGTCGGATTCGAACCAACGACCTTTCGGTTAACAGCCGAACGCGATAACCAGCTACGCCATGGAAGCCCACAAAAGCATCCATTTATACAGTGAGGTATTTACCATTATGGCATAGATTATAACCTTAAATATTCGGGTTATTATATAGTAGTGTATTAGTGATAAGTTATATTATATATTATATAGTGTGTTATATATTATATTATATAGTAGTGTATTAGTGATAAGTTATATTATATATTATACAGTGTGTTATATATTATATTATATAGTAGTGTATTAGTAATAAGTTATATTATATAGTAGTGTATTAGTAATATATTAATATTTTTATTATATTATAGTATTTTATGTACTATGTGTAGTATTTATTAATACTAAATGTACTATGTATTATATATTATACTATTTATTATACATTGTATTGTATATTGTGTTATATATTATACTGTGTGTTATATTTACACTAATTTTATTCTTTTACTGTTTTTCTATTTTTTTATTCTAATTTAAGATTTTCTTTTTTTACCCCCAGATGACTAGAAAGCAGCAGTACAAAAAATCATTAGAACTCACCAAGAACGAACTCTCCACACCAAAAGCACCAACACCAGAGGAGAGGATGAAACAGCTCACAGCAAAAGTACCCCAGGACATAATCAAATTCACTCCAAAGACAGAGAAGGCCATGCGACTGATGGAGAAGCAGAACACGATTGTTTTCGTATGCGACCTCAAAGCCACCAAGCCAGAGATTAAGATGGCCATTGAGCAATTATATTCAGTCAAGCCAAAGAAGGTCAACACTGCCATCACATTCAAGGGGGAGAAGAGGGCGTATGCTATATTCTCTAAGGAGCACAGTGCAATAGAAATAGCCAGTGCAGCTGACATCATTTAATAATAAATACTGGAATTTGTGACAGTTTACTATATGACTTATTACACTGTGTATACTATATATTACGACTTATTACGTACTGTATAAAATAAAGTATTAATTATTACGTACTGTCTTATAATTATGACTTATTGCACAGTGCATATTATATACTGTCATGTAATTATGACTTATTACAGTATGACTTATTACACAGTGTATAAAATAAAATATTAATTATTACGTATTGCATATTATATACTGTCATGTAATTATGACTTATTACACAGTGCATAAAATAAAATATTAATTATGACTTATTATACAGTGTCTTATAATTAATGTTTTATTGCGTATATTATATTATTACTTATTATACAGTGTCTTAATTATATTATTACTTATTATACAGTGTCTTAATTATATTATATTTATTATAAGAATATTCTTTATAATTATTATTATTTATTACACAGTATATATTATATATAACACTATTATAGATCTATCTATTACTATTATTTATTACATATTGTGTATTATATATTATATATTACACATTGTATAATAAGTATAAATATACTTTGTTTTTTACTATACATGATGTATATAGAAATAAATGATTATTCCCATATAAAAGACGTACAGAAGTCTACAAACGAAGAGAATCTCTTAAATTTATCATATTTTAATACGATAGTTAATTTTATACGTATAATTATGAATATTTTAATATTTATATATATAAATATTTTTAATTATAATATATTTATAACCGTATATAAAATTGATAAAATAAAAGGGATAACCCTTCTGTGTTTATCCTTCTCCTCACTTTGTTTGCTCCTAATTAAGGAATTATATACGAATATTATTATTATTAATATTACTGCAGTATTATACGTTATATTCCTGATTATTCCTTCTGTTATATTCCAGCAGTATTGGATACCCTTCTTAATAAGTAATTCAGTCATTTTATCGTCTGAGTATGCTTATATAAGTATAATTAGTGTACTTATCATGATAATTAAGTATAATTGTAGTAATAGACTAATTATCACAGTAATAGAAAGTGTTCCCAGTGTAATTGGTCTAATATCATTGATTGAGTATGAAATTAGACTAATTTACATGAAAAACATAAGGATTACCAAGTTTAAAGTATCAATTACTTGTTTTTTCTCATTTATATTCATGATAATTGGGATTATTCTGTTTTATATTGATGTAATTCATGATATACTCAAAAATCAGGTTATAACGGTATAATAAAATTTTCAAAATCAAAATTTACTCATTCATTAATAAAGCATTATATAATACACAGTATGTAATAAATTATACATCAATTATAATACATTATGTAATATATTTTATTATTTAAATAATAAAGTGTACATCAATAAAATATATTACACACTCTATTTTAATTATTATTTATTACACACTGTCTTATATTTAATGTATACATATTATTATTTATTATATACTGTCTTATATTTAATGTATACTTATCTATTATAATATATTACATAATGTGCTTTATTTATTATTTATTATACAGTATGTTATAATATATGTCATTTACTTAATTAAATCAGATAATATCTATAAATATACCCAAATAATTAGATTATCAATGAATACAACAACAGAAACAATAGAAATGAACAGAATAGGTAGCTGTGATACTTGTGATCATAGGCTTAGTCCCACTGAAGGAAGAACACACTCTGCATACATCAGACCATTATTTATTACTATATATGTAATAAGTATTGCATCTGTTTTATTTTTTACAATTTATTTTGTATTTTTTAAAAATAAAAAAATAGAAAAAAGTGCATTAAATACTACACAAGGCATCATAAATAATACAATTCTATCTATAAAAAACAATGATATAGAATATATAAGCAATACCACAGAAAGTAACATAAATAATACTACAATAAGTAATATATTCAATAACACTACAGGATATAATACACATAGTACACTAAGTAATAATATAACAACAGGATATAATACACACAGTACACTAAGTAATATTACCACTGCAGATATACCACCATCTAATAGTATATCCGATATGATCATTAATACTACAACAGACATATCAGAGACTACCACAGTAACAGACATACCAGGCATACCAGAAGGCATAGACATACCAGACGTGCCTGGCATACCAGAAGGAACAATCTTACCAGAGACTACCACAGTAACAGAAGGAACAACCTTACCAGAGGGTATCATAGGGACTAATATAACAGAGACTACCACAGTAACAGACATACCAGAAGGCACAGTTATAACAGAGACTACCACAGTGACTAATATAACAGAGAGTGTACAAGCACCAAAAGGAACAGAAAGTATCACAGTAACAGAGACTAATACAACAGAGACAGAGACAGTAACTAATATAACAGAGACAGAGACAGTAACTAATATAACAGAGACTGAGGTAGTGACAGAGATAGTGACAGAGACAGTGACTGAGACTAATATAACAGTAACAGAGACTGAGGCAGTGACTAATACAACAGAGACTGAGCCAGTGACTGATCCGACTGAGACTACCACGGTGACTGAGCCTGTCACAGTGACTGATCCGACTGAGCCAGTCACAGTAACAGCGACTGCTCCGACTGAAACAGTGACTAATACAACAGTAACAGAAAGTACTCCGACTGAGACTACCACGGTTGCTGAGACTGATATAACAGAGACTGCTCCGACTGAGACTGAGACTGAGCCAGTGACTGATCCGACTGAGACTACCACGGTCGCTGAGACTACAACAGTAACAGAGACTGCTCCGACTGAGACAGAAAGTACTCCTACTGAGACTACCACGGTTGCTGAGGCTGATATGACTGAGACTGAGACAGTCACAGTGACTGCTCCTACTATTACTACTCCGACTGAGCCTGTCACAGTCACTGCTGGGACTGTCTCGTTATCTTATGCTGATAATATTATGACTAATTCTACTGTAACAGATATAACTAATAAATTATTAATTATGTCTAAGAATATAACAGGAGAATAAATATAATATAATATATTATACATTATGTAATATATAATAAAATATATTACTTATTACACATTATATAATAAAATATATTAGTTAAAAAATACACTACTTATTACACATTATACATATCTTATTACACATTATACTATAACTTATCACTTATTGTGTATTATATCTTATTATATCTATTACTTATTACACAATATACACTACTTATTACACATTATCTATATCTTATTACACATTATGTATTATATCTTATTATCTATTATTTATTACTTATTGTGTATTATATAACGTGTTTAAAATATTTTATATAAAATTAAAATTTTATTTTTATAAGAATGGAAAGCGTAAAATTACAAGAAACTCTGATGAAATCAGTAATTGATGGTTATTCTATAAAAGGAATAAATCTGTCTCTTATATCAGCCGGTGTACTATTCTCATATACAGAAAGGGGGAAACTCTTAGTGAATACTTTAAAATCGGGTGCTATCTTTGATTTTATTATTTTTACTACAGTAATAACCCTTTCTATTATGAAAATAATTTCTTATGTATATAAATATAATATTATATACAGTAAACAAGAAAAGAACAATCTGGCCAGGATTGAGACATACTTGGGCATATTCGGTATAATGATATTAGGAGTACTAGGGAACAGTCCATTATTCATTATACTATCTGTGGTATCTTCTGTTATACTTAATAGTAATTATAAGTTTATTATTACTCTATTAATAACAGGAGGATTACTATTCTTAGGTATACCACTACTTACATATCCGTGTATGTATAATATTATTATATCTATGGGTATATCCTTATGCTTATTGGGTATGTTTAGATTAGAGTCAATTATAAAGAATGATAGTATAAATATGTATGTACACTACTTTATACTTATATCTATAGTGATTGGTGGGTTTATTTATAGTCCTATTACATTCATATTATTACCCATGGTATTATTTATATACATGAATATAAATAATAAGTATATACATGGAGTATATAGTAAGTATAAGGGTATATTATTACTACTAATTAAAATAACGAAAGTATTAATAATAACTGTAATTATTACGTTATTTACGGTGTACTTCTCTGCTTGGTATACAGATAACCCGATTATTCTTAGGAAATTCATAGGTGTAGAAGTATCTAAAGATTCTCCTGTGTTTATTATGGTATTAAGCAGTATTAAGTATATTATAGATATGGTAGTGCATTATATGAATATAGTAATAATGAGCATAAGGCCAAAATCAATCAGTGATTATATACTAAAATCAATTGATATCAGTACAGTGGAAGTATCTCACAGTAGTAATATATTCAAGCAGATTATTAGTGTAGTATATAAGGCATTTATGATTATAGATAATATACTTGTATATGTAATAGGAGTATCCAGTAGTATAGTACATATTATTGCGAGTATAGTGTGTTATATAGTGATACGGCCTATTAGTATATATAATAATATCATACGGATAATAACGAATGGTATATCATATATATTATATATGATAGATACGGCACTGTATTATGTAATAGGGAGGCATATGCGTATGGTAGATAAACCTGTAGTAAAAGACAGGAGTATACTAAGTAAGGCAGTAAGTATAATATTATACCCATTAACTATAGTAAAATATTTATTTAAGAGCAAGGGGAATAACACGGGTAATGTACAACTGTAGTAAATAAGGGCAATTTATTAACTTCTGTATACGGTATTATAGTACATGTACTATATTTACTATTAGGAGGGTACAGTTGGTTATTCTTTATTACTAATGGTAAGGATATGGTATCTGAGAAATCGTATGAGATGAGTAAATTCGGGTTTACTCCTGTCATGAGGAATTCTAACGTGAGTGTACCCGATGAAGTATTATACTACAACAAAGGCACGTTCTATCAGAAATTCTTTGATACGTACTGTGAGTATGCAGATGTATATGATGAGATTAATGGGAATGGTGCATATTCTGAAGAATCAATTACCAAGCATGATTCATACTCTGTGTACGATCCAATGCAGATGTATAGTAAGGATCAAGTGTGTACACCTATTTCATCGTATGAAACAGAGTTAAGGGATAAGATTAAGAAACTAGGACCTATAAACATAAAATTAACAGACCAAGAATTTGCAGGTATGAGAAGTATCCTTCAATACTTCCCATGCATACAGCATAAGAAAGGACTTTCACAGACTGAGAAGTCTTTAATGATGAAATTAGAGGATAAGAAGAAGATACTGAAAGATCCCAAGAAGGCCCCAGAGAGTACGCTTAAGAATATTTTAGGGATTAAACCAGATTCAAAGAAACAGCAGGCCACTGCTGATAAAGAGTACAGGAAAGCACTTAGTAAGATGGCAGATTATTACAGGAAGTATTACTACAACTTTTACATTCTTGGACAGTATTTCTTGGATAACATAAATAGTTCTGTGAGTAACTGCGTGAGTGATTCTATTATTAAGATGTACAATAAGATTATTCCAGTGGATTATTCAGGAATAACAGATGAGTACTTAAAAACAATTGTACAAGTCAGGACGGCAATTATCAGAAGAGAACTTCCATTCTTAACAGAAGCACAGTCGGCTTTAGTATTTTATACACCGGTTGTTTATAATCTTGGTCTAGACAGGAGCATACTATCAGCTAAGAACAAAGGCACTTTGGAGAGTGAAGGATTCTTCTTAGAGAACACTACGAATAAGATAAATTATAATGAAGTATTTGAAGAGAATACGGATTTATTCGTATATCATAATATGAAAGAATTAAATGTAGAAGAACAAGTATTACGGTTTAAGTCTACTGTATCAACTTGTCCTAATCCAGTGGGAGCACCATTCACTATAACAAGAAGTAATGGAATAGATTTATACATACACAAAAATGACAGTACAGTTGTATCAGTATCAGTTAATAATAGGCCTGTAGTGGCAAAGGCAATTCCATACAATAAAGCACAGAATGTGTGCATAGACTTAGAATTACCACTAGACTCACTTAAAGAGTATACTTTAAGTAACCCAAAGAGTGAAGAAATAATTACTATTACAGTGAGGATGTTCATAGGGCATGTTTCACTTGTTAGTACGCGTACTCATGAGATAAAAATATAAAAGCACAGTTATTCTTAATGAATATTTATTTTTATACTTTTTATATGTGATTATTACTGGTTTTATTAGAAAATATTTTGAAAATAACGGATATTTCTAAATTAGGAAATAAAAGATACAAATTTATAAATATAATGCTTCACAGAGATTGTCAATATCAAACGGGAGTAAATCAACATTCTTCTGTCCGACTCCTATAAAAACAACTGGTTTATCAACTGTATGTGCTAGACTAACAATTGTTCCAATTTTCTCATCAACTGTATCGCACTTAGTCACTACAATCCCATCGATTGTTTTGTCTACACAGGCTCTTTCAATTGACTCATTAAACCCCTTTATCTGCTGGATAGAATCATTACCAACTAATGCCTCACCAACATAGAATATCTTATTGGGCTTATTAACCCTAATTAGCTTTGATAGGGATAGCATAGACTGTGCATTACCAGGCATTCTACCACACGTATCAATTAGTACAACATCAAATTTATTCTCCTTTGCATAGGATATGGCTTTACTTGCAATTGATGCTTCATCTTTTTTGTATCCCTTCTCATACAGTACAATGGAATGGCCCCTCGCCTGGAACCTTTCAACGTACTTTTTTAACTGTTCAATTGCACCACTTCTGAACCCATCGCATGCTGCCACGCATATTTTATACTTATTCTTAAGTATCCACAGACAAAGCTTTGAAAGGGTAGTTGACTTCCCCACTCCATTAACGCCAACCATGCAGAATACGTACGGTCCTTTTGAATTCTTTTTATGGACTTCTATTTCTTCAATTATCTTACCGGGTGACAAAGTAGGAACAATCTCTGAGATGACTTTTTTAAAGCAGTGTCTCATTTGATCGGTTTCGCCCATCCCCTTATTGCTCTTGTCATTCTTCATTGTTGTCATTATATCATTAGCTATCTTTCTACTGAGTAAATGAGGAATATTCCTTGATAAAAGATGGTCCTGTATTCCACTCTCATTCACCTCCTTTTTGCCTGTGAATAACCTAAAAATATTCCTAGGCTTCTTCCACTTATCCCATCCAGTAGTTTCCTCCTCTGGATCAGAATCATAAATTTCCTCTGCTGCATCTGCTTTTTCTGTTGTAGAGTCACCAGCCTCTTCACCTACAATTTCATTTTTAAATATCCCATAAAGAACCCGCGAATTTTCACTTTTTTCTATCCTCTCCTTCGCCTCATTCAGTGCATCTTCTATTTCCCTTTCAATTTCTGCTTCTTTATACACAATCAGATAAATATTAGAAGTACCAAATGAATAAGTTAGTCTATCATTCCTTATTTTAATGGTTTTAATTGTTGAGAATGGCTGTGCCTTCTGAAGAAAGCTTTCTAAATACCCAGGCATGTTCCCCCTCTCTCCCAATACTATTCCACCACGCGTTCCAACCAAACTGTATAAAACCCTCTCTCTACTCTCCATAATTATAATATTAAAAATACGCTGAAATTTTAATTTTATTTAATTTTATTATTTAGGGTTATTTCGGGTTATCCTAAATTTATTATTATTTATTCTATTACTGCCTTACAAATCACATTTTTGAAGAACCTATTGCATATTATTAATAAAATCATCTGTTAGAAGAAAATAAAACAGATTTTTTAAGTAATTTCCAAATATACTCTAAAAAGAATATTCCACAGCCTACACCCAGTCCAATGGGCATATTACCATAATACACACATGGGATTGCCACGCACACTGTAAATAGTAAGCTATGCAGACCCTCCTTCTTTATTGTGACAATAGAATCTTTTAGTATATCAAACCCAATAAACAGTAAAAGCATATCCAAGCACATCTGAGGTATAAATGCGAAAACAGACTGACCAACTAAATACATCAGGATAAAGCACACAACAAGAACAAATCCATCAATTTTTTTGGTTGTTGGTTTTCCTCTATTTAATGCGATAGTAGAGGAAGATACGACATAAGTAGGGAAAAATCCCAATACAGAACCTAGTACATTTGCTATTCCGTTTGCTACTAATTCTTTCTTTAATGATGGTGTTATTTTACACTTGGCACTGATTGCAGGTGTATTCACTGGGAATTGCAGAAGAACAACTATAACCATTATTCCCATTTGAGTGAGTATATTAATGGAGCATAACGATTTCCATGCAATTTTATTGTACTCCATCTGATAAAGCAGAGGAAGGTCAAATAGCATTGAAGTATTCTTTCCATTCTGTGGCAAGAATGTACTAATTCTTGCATTTTCAATTCCTCCCCACCAGAAGAATATTGGTATATACGACAGACTAATTATAACTAGTAAAATTATACAGTATGAAAATGGTGCTAGCGATGGGAATCTTCTGCTCATTGCATGTGATAAATACCAAAAGGCAAATGTGATTATGCCATACACAGCTATGGTTGAGTATAGCACAAGATCCCCGTAATTAGCTACAAATTTCAGCATATTGCTAGTACCAAGTTTACAACATAAACACCCAATAACGAATAAGAGTGCTACTTCTATTTTACTAGGGATCTTATTTAATACTTTCTGAAACCCCGTCAAGTACAGAACAATAAATGCAAATCCACTTAATAGAGTGGATATACTTATAAATGCTAAAATAGTCCAAAACAATTCTGCATCCTTTAACCCGTATGATTTGTGTAGGATACCACTTACTTCTGCAATAATTCCGAATGTCTCAGATATTGGAGTGGTTATAACCCCAACTTGGAATGAAGAAAAAAGGAAAAAAATAACTTGTGATATGAATATACCAAATACAAAAAAAACAGTGCTGTATTTTGAAATGTCCACTCCCGGTACTACACCCAATCCAACCAATCCGATAGTTAACGCATCCATAAAGTATAAAATCATTCCAAGAAAACAACAAGAAACTCTTTCTTTAAGCGTACCAGTACCCACCAAATCTGATTGATGTGACTGGCTCCCTTCTGTTAAAGAATTCGTCTCAACAGGAAATGTATCCATGTCAATTACTCTATTTTCCATAAAAAATTTATTTCTTAGCAGTAATATATATTTATTTATACTCCTTATTCCTTTATATGGAAGTATTAAATAGGAGAACGCGATATACTGAGCAAAAATTTCAAAAGAATCTAATTGGTCAATTAGAGTGTTTGTGAGTAGTGCACATTTTTCATTTTTTATAATATTTTGAGTTATATTTTGTTTATAGTAAATAACGTATTTTAGTATATTTACACAGTAATATAAAGTATATTTATAATAAAATGCGATATTTATATTTATTTGGGTTATTTCTATTGGTTTCGGGTAGTGTGATCCAGAATGTCAAACAAAATGATGATGTTTGAAGTTTCAAATGTGTGAGTGACAGCTTTTGTGATTGGAGGTCGTCTATATAAGGACAACGTGGATTCAATAAGGAACAAGTTTTCGTATGCTAAGCCTTCAAGGAAAAACCAGCTATTTCAATTTTCATTTTTATAATTTTACGGCTTAAGTAAATTCTTAAATTTAATATTTTCTTGTTTATTATGCAGACTAAAGTGGCTTCAGAGGAGGGCATGCCCAAAGTGGCATCAGAAGATGGTATGCTTGAGCATAAAATATGCTTGGAAATGGAGAGAGAGCTAGAATTAGTAAACTTAAAGGAGCAATACATTTTGGAAGAGATAAAGTCATTAAAGAAGGAACTTATAAAGTCACAGCAGGCGATTGAACGGGTGAAGAGTGTTCCTTTGATAATGGGACACTTTTTAGAGGCAATAGATTCTGATACTGCTATAATTGGGAGCACTGCTGGGTCTAACTCAATAGTAAAGGTACTATCTACGGTGAATAAAGAACTATTAAAACCAAACACGAGTGTAGCTCTGCACAGACACTCTAGTGCATTAGTAGATGTACTGCCTCCTGAGGCAGATAATATATTCTCTGTGTTGGGAGAAGAGGGCAGGCCCAATGTTAAGTATTCTGACATAGGAGGGCTAGACAGTCAGAAACAAGAAATACGTGAGGCAATTGAGTTACCACTGACAGACTTGGCACTGTACCAGCAAATAGGAATAGAGCCACCAAGAGGAGTTCTTTTATACGGACCACCTGGTACTGGAAAGACTATGTTGGTTAAGGCCGTAGCACACCACACAAAAGCAACATTTATTCGAGTGAACGGGTCAGAGTTTGTGCAGAAGTATTTGGGTGAGGGACCAAGAATGGTAAGGGATATTTTCCGACTGGCGATAGAGAAAGCCCCTTCAATTATTTTTATAGACGAGGTAGACTCTATTGCCACTACTCGATTTGACTCTGCAACAAGTGCGGACAGAGAAGTACAGAGAGTGCTAATTGAGCTGTTAAACCAAATGGACGGATTTGACCAGACAACAAATGTAAAGGTAATTATGGCCACAAACAGAGCAGATACTATTGACCCAGCACTGCTCCGACCAGGGAGGCTAGATAGAAAGATTGAGTTCCCCGTACCAGACAGGAGACAGAAAAGAATGATCTTTACCACAATAACCAACAAAATGAGTCTTTCCAGCGAAGTAAACTTAGAGGGGCTTGTAGTACGGTCAGACAAATTGTCGGCAGCTGAGATAAATTCAATCTGCCAGGAGGCAGGTATGCTTGCTGTAAGGAATGGCAGGTATATGGTAATCCAGAGCGACTTTGAAGCAGCATATGCAAGAATAGTAGAGAAGAAGAATTCAGAGCACGGATTCTATTACTGATGAAAATAAACCAATAATTTCAAATTTTTAAAAATCAAAATATTATAAAATCAGATTTAACAAGTATAAGTAGAGCGAGGAATAGCCAGAGTATGAACAGATACTTCAAGTACAAAATGGGAATATCGTTAGTATTACTTTGTGCATATACAAATGCAGCAGGAATAGGAGCACCGCCGGCGGGAGGAGCAGGCCCCGGTGGTGGAGCAGGCCCAGCACCTCCTGGTGCACCGTCTGCAGGAGAGGCAGGTCCTGGTGGAGCAGGACCCAAACCTCCTAAATCTGGCTCTGACCCATTGGGCGGTGCAGGTCCCAAACCTCCTAAATCTGGCTCTGACCCATTAGGTGGTGCAGGTCCCAAACCTCCCAAGTCTGGTTCGGATAAATTAGGTGGCGCAGGTCCTAAACCTCCTAAATCTGGCTCTGACCCATTGGACGGTGCAGGTCCCAAACCTCCTAAATCTGGTTCGGATAAATTAGGTGGCGCAGGCCCTAAACCCCCAAAGTCTGGTTCAAGCAAAGGCCCCGATGGTTTAAAAAATCCTTCTGGTGACAAATCATTATCTGCAGCCAATTCAATGAAAGGAAATGGTGCAGGAATAAATAAATCTTCTACTAAAGATAATGGTGCGGGTATTAATGGTGCTACACCAGATTCTAATAAAAATTCATCTAAAAAGTCTCCAGATGGGCATCCGTCTAAGTCAAAGAATGGCTTACCAAGCAACCTAGCAGATGGAAAGCATAAAGGCAACTCATTAGATTCAAGCAAAGACCCCATGAAAGGGAATTTAAAGGAACACCACAAAGGCAGCAATAAAAACCAGATGAACAATAAAACCAACTCTGCACAAGACAAGCATGCTCAAAATTTAAGCAAAAGCGCAAATAGCAAGCAAAATTCATCTAAAAACAGCAAGAATACACATAATTCAATGAATCAGAACAGCAAGCAAGCAAGCAGTGAATTAAACAAAAACAGTCAGAACAATCAAAATGCAATGAACAAAGATGACCAAACCAACCAAAGCAGCACAGACAGCAACAACAAAGAAATAAACAAGGAGAATCACAAAAATAACGAACATAACGAACTCAAGAAAAGGAAAAACATTGAAAAGAACAATATAATCAACAATCAGAAGAAAAACAGCAAAAAGAAGAATAAAATCATAAACAACTACTACAAAGATGAGGATGAGGACAGAAACATAAATTCAAACAACACAAAATCAAACAGTTTAAAAACAAACAATAACAAGCATAACAAAGAAGATATAAAAGAGAATTATAAGGAGAACAACATAAGGAACAATCTAGAAGAGAATGATGAAACAGACACAACAACTATAAATAATTATAGATATAACAAAAGAAAAAGAGGAAATAATTCAAATAATAGAAGCCGTAATTCAGAGCAGAATAGATCAAGAAATCGCAGAAGCACTGATTCAGTTAATCAACAAATGAATAACTCAGAAGATCATTCACACAGTCAAATGAATAATTCTAAGAATATGTCACAGAATCAAATGAATAAGCAGAATAAGTCACATGACCACAGTGATCCACACAATCATTCAAACACCCGCAGCGACCCATACAATCATTCAAACACCCGCAGTGATCCACACAATCATTCAAACATCCGTAGCGACCCACACAATCATTCACACGGTCAAATGAATAAGCAGAATAAGTCACACAATCACGATGACCCACATGACCATTCTTCAAATGACCATTCACACAGTCGAAGTGATCCACACAATCATTCACACGGCCAAATGAACAGTTCTAAGAATAAGTCACACAATCACGATGACCCACACGACCATTCACACGGCCAAATGAACAGTTCTAAGAATAATTCTAGGAATAAGTCACATGACCATTCGCATGACCATAATGACTATTCACACGGCCAAATGAATAGTTCTAAGAATAATTCTAGGAATAAGTCACATGACCATTCGCATGACCACAATGACCATTCACACAACCAAATGAATAGTTCTAAGAATAATTCTAGGAATAAGTCACATGACCACAATGACTCTCACGACCATTCTTCACATGACCACTCACAGAATCAAATGAACAGTTCTAAGAATAATTCTAGGAATAAGTCTCATAGCCACAGTGACCCACATGATCACTCACACAGTCGCAGTGATTCACATGATCACTCACATGATCACAATGACTCAGACAGTAGTAATAGGTCACAGCGGCAAATGAATAATTCTAGAAACAGTTCTAAGAATATGTCACATGACCACGAAGGGCATAGCCATGAAGACCATGACCATAGTGACCCACAGAGTAGTAATGCATCAAGTAAAAGGTCTAAAAGAAGCACGAATTCTAACAACAGGGATTCTCACTCACACAATCAAAATGACTCCCACGACCACTCACATGACCATGAAGACCATGACCATTCACACAGTCAAATGAACAGATCTAAGAATAAGTCACACAATCAAAATGACTCTCACGATCACTCACATGACCATTCACATAGCCATGAAGACCATGACCACAATGACAAGAGTAAGCATTCACACAGTCAAATGAATAAGTCTAACAAGAATTCTCATTCTCACGATCAAAATGACTCACACGATCATGAAGACCACGACCACTCACACAACCATGAAGACCATGATCACAAAGACCATGACCATTCACATTCTGATTCAAATAGATCTAATTCCAGTAGGAATTCTGATGTATCTAACAGCAGAAGGGGCGGTTGCTGCTGTAACAAGTCTAATTCTGGTTCTAATTCTGATTCATCTTCATCCAGCCAGGATAACTCTAGCAGCAGTCAACAGAATGAAGACAAAAGAAGTGGCTGCTGCTGTAACAAGTCTAATTCTGGTTCTAAATCTGATTCATCTTCATCCAGCCAGGATAACAGCAGAAACAATCGTCACTGCCATCACTGCCACCACAATGAGGATAAACAAGCACAGAAACAGGAAGAATCATCTGAATTATGCAATAACTGTAAAAACAAGCAAAATCCAGAAAAGAAAACATGCAAGAAATGTGAAGAATCCAATAAAAATGAGAATAAGCCCACTTCTACTTCTTCAGGTGAAAAATCTGTAGAGAAATCCAACATAACCAACAAAAAGTCATCACACAACAAAAAGCAACAGAACAATTCAAGCACAGTAGACAGGAAGACTCGACAAAAGAGATCTTCTTCATCTAAAGACTCTAAGAATGTTCAAAACCAGAAGTCACAAAACCAGAAGTCACAGAAATCCAACCAAAAGTCACACGGCCACAAGCAAAGCCACGGCCAGAAATCACAGAAAGCAAATCAAAAGTCCCAGAAGGGAAACAAGCAAAAATCAAAAAAATCCAATAAATCCAATGATGCATCTACTAAGAAGAGCAAATAGTGAATAAATGGTGTGTATAAGAATTGTTTTAACACAATGTATAATTATTATTTATAAAAAATATTATGTTTATTTAATACACAATGTGTATTTAATTATGTACTATATTATAAACAAGTACGTCTTCTAATAAATTTAAATAAAACCACAAAAAGAAAAAAAGAAAAAAAAGAAAAAAACCACCAGTATTTAATAATAACGTGCTCGCGGGGAGGCACTGTCGCTGCCTATATAACATCGTCCAAGATAAATAGAGATAGTATTAAGGAATGCTCTTTATTATGATTATTAGAATATCGGGATGTGCACGGACACGGAGTCCTTGTGGCACTATTGGCACAAAGACTTTTAGTAAATGTGTCCCGTGGTGTTTTCATATTGATTTGTTTGGGCGCTTGCTCCTTATATAGTCTAAAGTTAATCTGTGATTCTTAGATCCAGGCTTTTATCGAGCCAGGATCACCGTGCTAATAGACGCATTGAATGATCAGTCTTATGCATGTGCGCTTGATTAGTGGTGTCACCGCAATTATGTTATTTTTGTAATAGAATGCCCTATAACCCGAATTTAAAATAATTTATTCTTTACATATTCTACTGCTAGTGAATATATACACTATAAGAATTATTTTAATTCCTATTTACAATACTTGTTATAGTATAGCTAGAATAATTTTGATCAGTATTTAAATAGGAGATGGTATGAAGGACAATAAGTAACCAATCAAAGAATACTTTGTGTTATATATGCAATCAGGCACGCCCATAAGTGTTTATTATGCATTAACCAATTAATAGTAAAGATAGCACGGAGTTATTAAAAACAAAAAATATATATATTTTAAAAATTTATTTCTAGGATGAACAATAGTATGATTATAAAGCTACTAGTGATGATGTACACGATATGTGCAAGAGTTGAGTTGAGTGATATAAAGATAATAGAAAACACCAAAATTATTAGTAAAGAAGGTAACTTGGTAATAAATCCAGATGGATCACTTGGTCCACTCAGAGCAGACATTATGCGCAAGTGCGAATATATACATAACAAACGATTATATGCATATGAAATAAACACGATGCATAAATTGATAAAAACATATGAAAATGGCGAAACAGTTTACGAATACGAAAGAAAGCCAGTCAAAGACAAAGCGTATGATGATATATATGACCCAAAAAAATTTAAAGCAAAGAATGATTATTTTCTTAGATTTCATACACATCTAATCAATATGTTTCCATGCGCGGATGGTGCACTTTCCATCATAGCAGGAAGACTGGATGCACCCACTTCTTTTCTGAAAAAAGAGGAAGTGGAGCCACAGAGTATGAACATCCTGGCAGTCCTTTTCCTCCTGTCTGAGCAGGTGGATATTCCTATTACTATAAAAGAAGAAAAAGGAAAAGAAAAACTTATTCTGACAAGTGTTAACGGAAAAACTGCATATATTGACCAGAGCCTAGTACTTTATGTAAACAAGAAAAATTCAGAAGAAAAAATTAAAACTTACCACACAGAAACAGTTAAACTTATTAACTTTATGAAACGCTATGCAGGAGATGCAATAACTTACATAAAAAAAGAAGGCTACACTGAGCCAGCTACATATGAGCAGTTCATGGAAGGAAAGTTCTTAAGTACCGTGCAGTTCCTTATTCAGTCGTACATATACGAGTTTATTGATACAAAAGAAAATTACATTAAATTTGTAAATGCTGTATATACTATCTTGAATGACCAGATAGTAAATGACAATAAATCTATTTCAAAAATAAAAAAAAGTCATACAAAAGAGTACTTAACAAGTGCTTTATACAAGAAAGTGTACGGCCAAATAAAATCGACCACACTAAGATTATTTGCGATCTTAAGGATACAATAGACAAGTATAGAATATTTCCATTCATGGATTCATCACAGCTTCCATCTTATGATCGGGTTAAAGCATATGATCGGAAAAAGGACGAGTTCATAAACGATGAAACCCTAAAATATTCTAACTGTGTAGAAGCAGCTCTGCTAGGACTTGTGTGCTGTTTAGTATATGATCCAAATAAAAAGAAGTACAATACAGACCATCTGCCCGACAATGAAGAAACTAAGCCACTGAAAGACTTCTTTAAAAAGTATTCTGAGCCAAGAGAAACCACTGACTATGAAATGCACGAAGATTGGTGTAGAGTGATAGCAGACTTGAAGAATGACAAGATTCTTTACTTAGAGGAGAAGACGAATGAGCTGGACAGCAGTTTGTTGAATATTCTTTATGTTGTATCGGACATAACTGGAAGCAAAGAAGAAGTAGTTAAAGAAATTAAGTGCTTAGAAAAGCTTCTTTCTAATAAGAATATTAATGATAAGCTTGATATAGAAGAAAGCTTGACTACAATGTTCAAGGAGCTATCAAATAACAAGAATCTTGATGTAGAGTGTGACAAATTTACAGTGGGTACACGAGAAGATAATAATCTGGACTTATTTGGTGAGTTTAAGCTAATATATACTTTTAATGAGAAAAAAAACGGAATATTAGTAGAGATAACTTCTGGCCATTGCGCATTAAGTTTATTGGAAGACCTATTGTCTAGTGAAGAGGACAATATTATTAAAGAAAAGTTGACTGAAATACAGAATATTTATAGTAATATAGAGAGTTACACTGCATGCACAATTAGACAGTACATAAACATAGAACTTGCTAAGATGGAGAAAAGGTCTGCATTAGGCCGAATTCAAGAAAGTATTAGAAATAACCATGATAATATAAATGATATTTTCCTTCACGGGATGATTCGATCAGTTGAACAAAAAGCAAGCATTGTTAAATACTTCTTGATTATGAATGTAAAGAATACTCTACCAAAAAACAATTCACTAGTTAGGTTTACCAATAATCTTATAGGAAGTACTCCACTTGATGATTTTGAAACAAGAGAAGATATGTTGTGTTATTGTGGGCTTAATAAAGACAGTAAGAGCTACTATAAAGGAATTGAAAGCTACTTGAAAAATCTCACTAAACTTTCTGTATTTAATTTTAATACAATAATTAATGACATTTTAGATAAGTCAAACTATTCCCTCGGTGTTAAATTAGAGTGCTTTAAAAAGTTGATGATGGTTGTAGCAGATGATGATGAGAAGTATGCTATTGTTACAGAATCTTTCTCAATTAAAAATATAATATTGTTTTCTATGGAGACTGATGAGCCAGCTAAAACGGTTTTAGAGTTCATAAAGATAATATATGAAACAGTTATGCAGCCAGATGGATCAAATGGGTTTGTTGCTTACTTAAAATTTATTTATCATATAGCAACTTCAAATGAGTTCAATTTAGATGATAAGAAAGAGGTTATAAAGACTGTAATGGACAAAATAGATGTTAATTATAATTTAAATCTAAATAACAAATGGGATTCTTGTATTCTTAACCATTTCCATATATTGGAATATTTACAATTCTGTGAGGATATATTATGTGATAAAAAAAACCCAAATAGTGTTAAGAACTGCAACAGTCTTATAGAAACAATAAAAAAAACTATTGAAGTGTGCAAACGAGGAAGTTCCCGGTGAGTCTTGAATCCTTCCACACGTAGAAATGCATAAGTGAATATTAAACTGTTTGTATATAAGGTATAAGAATATACTGCTTTTCTTTATATACGCAGATTTATTGGCAGCGCATAGAAATACAAAAATAAAAATTCAATATTAACTACAGTATATTATTATAACACAGCAGTATTCTCTAAATTCTAACGGGTTGAAAGTATCATATATTCTAAATTTAATTTGATATGTCTTTAATAATCAGTTTGTGTTCTATGATTTATACTGTTTATGTTGATTTCTTCTGTTGTTCTGTATGGTATTTTAGTGTATTTAAGTATAAATTGTTTGTTCTTTATGTTCTGTAAATAAATATTTTACTTTAAAATAAAGTGTATAGTACTGCTAATAACATGAATGGATTTATTTACAAGCAGTTTATATTTAAAAATAAAATAGAAAAAGAAAAGAAAAGAGAAGAAAAGAAGAGAAGAGAAAAGAAGAAAAAGGGATAATGGAGTATATAAATGTAGAATATCACAAGTAAAGGCAAGGAAACACACATAACAAGACAAAGAATAAGAAAAGAAGGTGTGATATGACAAAGCACTTATTTGCAGTCAGAATATAATTATATTTAAAGATTTGATGTTCTATACTAATAATAACGTGCTCACGGGGAGGCACTGTCGCTGCCTATATAACATCGTCCAAGATAAATAGAGATAGTATTAAGGAATGCTCTTTATTATGATTATTAGAATATCGGGATGTGCACGGACACGGAGTCCTTGTGGCACTATTGGCACAAAGACTTTTAGTAAATGTGTCCCGTGGTGTTTTCCTATTGATTTGTTTGGGCGCTTGCTCCTTATATAGTCTAAAGTTAATCTGTGATTCTTAGATCCAGGCTTTTATCGAGCCAGGATCATCGCGCTAATAGGCGCATTGAATGATCAGTCTTATGCATGTGCGCTTGATTGGTGGTGTCACCACATATATCTATGACTAAGTTTTATTTTTTCTATTTTTATTCTAGTTATTCATAATTTCTTTTATTCCACTAGGATATAACAAGAATATACTAAGAATAATTATAGAAATAATTATAAGTATTACTGCAATAATCTTTAAATATGATGGACCTTTACTCCTAAAAGTAAATGGACCAATAGTTGCAATATCTGATTCTATTGATTCAAAATGCTTTTTAAGTAGGTTATTTTTAATATCTTCCATATTAATATATTGATGATTTTTTATAGTATTAAATATACTTAATTTTTCATTTCCAATATCAATATCTTCTATTCTTTTTTTAAATATTTGATTTAAGTAGCTTTTAAATATATTTTTATGCTTCTGTTTATATGATTCTATATTTAATATATTCTGATTTGAACGTATAAACATATTAAATATATTAACATATAAACGACAAATATAAAAATAGATATCATTTTTATCCATTTTTATAACTAGATTAGAATAAAGTAAAAACAAGCGTATAAAACCAAGATTATACATTGATTTACAAATTGAACCATCTAAAAAATAAATAAGATTTCTAATATCATAGCTTTCTGTTTTTGTAAGTAACTGTAATGAATAAATATCATCTTTAGTTATTTCTAAATTACTTATATTTGATTGTTTTTCTCCATTCTTATCTGTTATAATTAGATTATCACCATGTTTTACCAGTATATCTAATGCTCTTTTAAATCTAGAGCACTCTTTTGACTCTGTTAACTCACATAGTTTAGCTATAGCATATGTTGAAGTTACTTCATCATTTAATTTTAATATTTCTTCTTTCTCACACAGTGTGTTAATAGCAGAATCCAATAATTCCTTTCTAAAAATATATCCTTCTGCCATAAGCAGATAACTATTCCCTATTATTCTATAAAATGCTTCTTTTTTTTCATCACTATCTAATTCATCTGCTAATTCTTTAATTATATCTACAAATAAGTCTATATGTCTTAATGCTTCATGCAATTTTGATATAATATCCTCTTCATTATAGTATATATATATAATCCTACCGAATAATTGTTTATAAAGTATATTATACGCCAAATTAGCCAGAGGTTCAGCTACTTCAGTAAATATCCTTTTTTCTTTATTAATTCCTGCTATTATAATAAATAACTTATCTGTATCTGCATAGTTCATCTTTCCATTTTTATTTTTGAATTCTTTCTGTAATTCTGCTCTTATTTTTATTTCATCAATAATATAATTCGCCATAAAAATAAAATGTTTATCATATTTATACTTTTTGTTGCCAAGGGGATATTAATAATTAGTTTAATAAAATTTTATCTTGGTTTAATTTGTTGGCAACGCTTTTTATTATCATAGGGCTATTAATAATTAGTGCCGTATCCCGTAGGTGGTAACTGTGACTTATATACATAATTACTCCACTGCGGTCCTGGAATGGAAATTACTTGTTAATAGTATTACTTAATTGGTTATTTATTGGTTTCATTCTTGGTATGTGTTCTTATTCAGCTTGTAACTCTTACCTGGTATAAATTCAATTTATCCTGAAATAGGATACGATAAAAACAATTGTTGTATGCTAAGACTAATATTAGTATCGTAATAGCACGGCATGAGTTATCGTTTAAATAAACAGGACAGTATAAATTAAATTGATTATACAGTCTATAAATACGTATACGAATTAAATAAAAGTTTAAGTTTAAGAATGTCTTTCATAAGAAAACAACTAGTAATCATAACCCGAATATTATTTATGTGCTACATATATTGAAAGTAAATTTTAGATTATTATTTATCCTATAAGCTATTCATTTTCTTTTCTTATCTGTGGATTATTTTCGGTTATAATTAAATTTGAGTATTTTAACTGATAATCAGTTTTTATTTGAGTAAATAATTATTAGTGATACTGGATTTTCATGCTTATTATTAAATATTAATTCCTGTGGCAGTCATTATTATTTACTGTGGACATGCTTCTAGGAGTAATACTTCTGAGAATGAATATGGTGGTTTATACACATGGAAATCAACACTAGATATTACATTAAATAATTTATTAAAGCAGAAGTTAAATTTCTACTCATTCCCCAAGCACCTTTTCTTATCCTTCTGTATTGTGTGCAGTCTTTTTAAGTGTTCTTTATCAGGTTCTCTGTGTGCGGTTGTTGTAGATTTATTATACAACTGCGTATTCCTCTCCATCCTCATGGCAAATAAAATATCTTCCTTTGTGAGTTCTTCTAAATTCTTATTCCTAGCAGCAGAGCATGCAGTAGATATTAAATTATCAATGAATACATCTGTACCACTCAATAAAATCCTTTTTGATATACTATCTATTCCCGTTGTAACCCCCATTTCTTGAAGAATTTCTTCAATCTCTAACCGTACATCTAATGGATCATGAAATTGTTGTTCTACTTGTGAGTACTCTCTCCCTTTCTCTAATTTCCCTGCTAAGTTATACACAGATGAAAGATTCCCTGGTCCACCATCGGATTCTTCTGGTTTCCCCAAGTGCATATTATTCAATTCTCTTAACTGTGAGGTTATCCTGCTTTTTTCTTCCAATAGTCTTGTAACCACCCCGGGTGGTTTTGATGCTGACCCCTGTAAATATCTGTTTATTTCCCCCAGCATGCTCTGTAACTGCTGTATTTTTCTTTGAAGATTCTGGTCTTTCATTACTGTAAAAATTTACTTAATTATAAAGACATTTATTCCTGTTGTATAGTAAACTAAAATTATAATTTTATTATAATAAAATATAACCCGATATAACCCGAAATTTGACATAAGTATTTTATAGGTATAAGTATAAGTAAAATAACGGTTGAATATGGATTATTTGAATTTATAATAGTATTCTTATAAGAATTTGTATGGATCTTCACCTGAAAGTGTACTAATAATTTTCATAAGCTGTTCTGCCTTATGCCTAGTATGGGCATCCTTTGATTCCAGAAGAATTGCGAAGTATGGGGCACTTTGTCCTAGTAATCTACTGATGAAATCTGGGTTCTTATTGTATATCTTATACAGCGTATTAAATAGTCTGTTCTTCCTGGGGCCATCTGCTTTCACTAAATCAACCAGAATTGTATGGTTAATGCCTTCTGCTTCAGATGGGTTATTTATTGACTGTGAGTAGAACAGTGCAGAAATAAGTCCAGGGATTGATTTCCTTGTTGAAATTGCTTGCATGGAGAGTTCCATAACCTTTTGAATTGAAATAAGTGTGGACTTCTCATGCATAAAGAACCTTTTCATTATGCTAATTATTTCTGGTGACTTATCCGTGTTTAGTGCATTAATCAGCATATCTTCTAACCGAGAGTATATTAATGAGAGTGAGCCAGTGCATGCCCCCTTTCTGTCTAACCTACACATTCTGTGTAAAGTGTGTATGAATTTAGGCGTGAATCCTTCTGTTTTTCTTAGTAAATCAGTCCATACGGCTTGTTTATTCTCTATTACAGAGAACAGTTCAACTAGTATTCTTAGTGCACTGCCTTTATCAGTCCTGTTTATGCAGAAAGTTGTTAATTCTTTAACTTCTTCTGGTTCAAGTTCTGACACTTTATTATTTACGTACTTCTCAAGTATTTGTACGTCCATATCATCACTTACTGCATTTATAATGTACCTTAAGTTGATTTGTGTAAGTCTCTTTGCATACTCCTTTCTTCTTGTTTGTTTGATTAAGCCCATTAATGAGTGCGTGTACGGGTGCATGACATTCTTCTCTCTTCCCACTAAGTTACACATAATCTTCAGAACAAGTGCAAAGTGGGCATCTTTCTGTTTAAGCACTGCCTTAACAATATACTGTAATCTTGACTGTACGTAATATCTGAGAAGGCTTGATTTCTTATCCTTTAGAATACTCAGCACGAGTAGAAGACTCTTCCCATTAAGCTGTCTAGAAATAAGTGCTCTAAATAGGAGTACTTTACTCCTAGAGGATGGATTATGCATAAGAACATTCTGCAGGACAGAATTATCAAGTACTTTATCCTGGACAAGTGCAAGTAATAAATCCGTTGGTGGCAGATTCTTCTTAAGGTACCTGCTGACCAGTCCTCTAACAACTTGTGATGACCCATTCACTTTCAGTTTGTTTGAAAGAAGTCCAGGTATCCCCCTCATGGGAAGAATACTTCTCTCCCAGTTGCACAGAACTGATCCTACATTACACACCTTCCTGGCATGGATGAGTGTATCCAATAATAAAGATACAACTCTTCTGTGCTCTACTTCAGTATCACTCTTACAACCAGATGGATTATTTATGCTTACACTTTCTTCAACTGCAGATACTCTTGCCAGGACTGTATCCAGGATCAGCTGTACAGAATACTTATCCCCAGGTACAACTGATTCTAATAATATGGACAGGGGCACAGATGTACTAAGTACACTAAAAAGAAGAGTATTCTCTATTCTGTACATTTCAACTGCTGCTCTGATTATATCTATCTTTATATTCTGTTCTAATCCACTGAATATATTCAGTAGACCAGGCACTAATACGTCGACGTACTCAGTTTTAATAACCAGAAGAATTTCCTGTGGTGTGAGTTCATTAAAGTACTTCTCAAACACTGCTGACACTAAATCTACATTATCCCCACGCAGGCACTTTAACATTTTACTCTCTACAGTGCCTGACTCTTTCTTTAGTACTGCATTGCATATAACTCTACTAAACCCACGTACATCTAATGAAATAGCTGTCCTGTACAGGAGTAGTGACACAGTCGTATCCACATCAAATACGTCCAGGACTTGAATTATTCCAAATAAGTCTGTGCACTGTACAGTATCTCTCCTATCAGAAAGTATCTCCAGTAGTGCTTTAATTGGTCTTTTCCTATCTGATTCTGGGATACTTTCTATTATACTCTTTACTCCGAATAGAGTATTAATATGTGCATGTAAGTCACCGTATACATACACTATAAAAAGAACCTCTTCTGGTGTATTATTACTTCTCTCTAATTTACACTTAGCAATATCAAGTAATCCTTCTCTCTCCTCATCACTTAATTCAATGCCTAATGGTGTATACCCGTTATATTTTGATACAGTATCAATATACTCTGAAAAATGACTAATCAGCACATCTCTATCCACAGATCTAATAAATGCTTTATGATGCACTTCTGATAAGAATAGTTCAATACTCTTCCAGTCACTCATTTTAACTAATTCATTCTCAATGGTTTCTGTGGATAGGACAGGCAACAGTCCATCTATAACTAATTTTAATTCATTATACGATGTAACCTTCTTAAATATCCATTTCTCAATCTGTCTGTTAGGCAATATTTGATGGAATTCACTGACCATTTTCTTTGTGATTTTCTTAATATCTTTCCCTTCTTTTTCTCTTTCAATCTCCGATAATATTTTAATTATAGGATACTTCTTAGATAACTTAGTATACTCTGAGTCATCACTTATAACAAGTGATATATAAGGCTTTTCCAACAGTAATTCTACTATTTCATCATATTTCAGCGACTTAAATATTATTTCTTTAAGAATACTTATCCAGTCAGAGATCTCCTCTTTCTCAGATATTATTTGTACTGCGAATTCCATTGGATATTCCTTAATTAACTTATCTTTATCTCCTGTCCTCTTAAAGTGTGCATATAATGTAGAGAACCTATAAGAAATATCCTGTACGTCCGTATGTATACTATTACAGTCTAATTTATACGTATTCTTATTAAACCCATCTATTTCTTGTTCTATTTCATCAATTAGTTCATTATTCATACGTATCTGTATAAGGATCCTTTCTATACACTGTATAATACCCTCTCCTTCTATTTCATTATTTATACATTTCTTGATCCTGTTCCTACACTCAAATAATGAATTGACCCATTCACAAATTATCTCTTCTGGGATGGCCCCTTCTTTAAACAGAATATTCCCCACACCCTCTAAATATTTCACATACTCATGCGATTCCTTATCTATTACTAATTTATGCAGTACTTTTAGTATACACACATTATTATAATTACTATTTAAGTAATTCCTTACTTATACGTACTTGTACACCTTTACACTGTATAATAGATATAATAGGATTAGATATAAATGGATTTCTAGATATAAATATGTCTAATATCTCCTGTACTTCTTCTATTTGTATTGTAGCACTTACTAAATATTCTAATTCGTACTTATCTATTCTGTATATACGTATAAGCCACTCCAGTATAACCATTATATAATTATATTTTGTATACGGTGTAATAACAGTTAGGATTATTTTAAGTCGTTTTGAAATATTCTCATTCTCTTTCTGTGTGAGTCTTTCCCTTCTGAATTCTGCACTGTTCTCATTTGTGAGTACTTCCAAATACTTCTGTATTTGTTCGTATGGCTTACTGTGGTATATTCTGAATAATTCAACTGACTCTTCTACTCTAGAATAGAATAAAATATCTGGTTCATCTCTTAATTCATTAATAAGTATTACTCTACTACGATCTTTTATATTCTTCTCTCTTACTCTGTTTAATTGTTCTGCAATACTCATTGTAAAAATTTTATAACAGCTGTATAAAAATACTTTTATATATTGCACAGTACATAATAAGTTATAATTAATATACGTAGTGTAACAAGTAATAGTATATTAGATGTGTATTACTTATTACACATTATATAATAAGTTATTACTACTATTTATTACTTATTACACAATACAGTATTATATATTACACAGTACACAATAAGTTATATATAGTACATATAGTATAATAAATAATAGTATATTAGATGTATATTATATATTACACATTATGTATTACTTATTACACTATGTTCTTTATATTATATTAGTTATTATGTACTGTCTAATATATTTTATTCTATTACTTATTACACTATGTTCTTTATATTATATTACTTATTACACTATGTCCTTTATATTCTATTACTTATTACTTATTATACTATCTTCTTTATATTATATTGCTTATTATATTACTTATTACTTATTACACTATGTCTAATATATTATATTCATTTATTACTACTTATTCTATTACTTATTACACTATGTCTATTATATTCATTTATTACTTATTCTATTACTTATTATACTATGTTCTTTATATTCATTTATTACTTATTCTATTACTTATTATACTATGTTCTTTATATTCTATTACTTATTATTCTATTACTTATTGTTTATTATGTATTATATTTTATTTATTATATATTACTTATTGTTTATTATGTATTATATTTTATTTATTATATATTGTCTATTATATTTTATTTTTTATGGATTATACATTCAAGAAGCCAACACTAGAATCCTACAATATCCTATTTAAAGTACAGCATAAGATAGAAGACCCTTCTGTACTACAGGAGTATCTACAGACTAATTCAATGACTGGGTTACACAGAGAGTACATAAATTCAGGCATACTCCCACATAAAGACATCCCCATACCACCAGAAGTAGACTATAATTCATCCTCTGAGGAAGACCTCTTAAACCTCTGCATAAAGTACTCATCTGAAGTAGAGTACGAATTGTTCAACCAAGCCAGTAGGAGACTAATGGAGTATAACAAATCCTTATCAGTACGCTTTGATATTTATACGGCCCAGATAAGGATGCTAATACTACTGCAGTGGCCATCAGAACTAGCCAGGAAATTCACAGAAATTGAGTCCCTGCTGGAGTTAGGCGTAGACTGGGCCAGGAAGAACAAATTTAAGGTTTATTTCGGGTTATACTTAATTTTACAGCGTAAATTTAAGGAATCTTCAAATTTCTTAATTGATGCCCTTTCCACATTCGAGTCTGAAGAAATAATGGGCTTCTCAGACTTAGTAAAATTTTCATTATTTTCAGGTTTGATTTCCATTCCCAGGGAGAATATAAAAAATTTGTCAGAGTCAGATATAAATAATCACATAATTACGATACCAGGTGCACTAAATTTATTATTATCACTGTATAATTGTACGTATACGGATATATTCAAGCACATATACGTATTCAGTAAGGAATTACAGCATAATCCGTACTTATACGATAAATTAGACTATTTTATATACAGGGTTAAGTTACGTGTGTATAAGCAGATATTCAACAGTTATAATAGTATAACTGTATATCAGATAAGCAAGATATTAAATATATCAGAAGGGTATATAATAAGGGACATAGAAGTAATGATAATAAAGAAGGACTTATTATGCAAGGTAAATCACAGTACTATGATGGTGTACAAAGTAATAAGGGAGGCACATGACAGTATAATATATAAGGCAGAGGATATATTACATACTGTACAGAAAGAGATATCGAATGAGTAAGATATAGTGTGTATAGTACAGGAAGTAAGATATAGTGTGTATAGTACAGGAAGTAATATGCATAGTATATATAAAGTATGAATAAAACTTATTACATTATAACTTATTAATAGCACATATTACATTATAACTTATTACGCATAGCATAATATATTATAAGATGCATAATATAGATAACTTATTACTTATTGTGTAATATATTATAAGATGGATAATATAGATAACTTATTACATATAGCATAACATATTATAGATAATTTATTACGCATAGCATAACATATTATAACTTATTACATATAGCATAATATACATAACTTATTACTTATTGTGTAATATATTATAACCCGAATATTATACACAACTTATTATACATTACACAATAAATAATACTTATACATTACTTATTACACATTATACACAACTTATTACACATTACACAATAAATAATACTACTTATTACACATATAACACTTATTAATACTTATTACTCATTTATTACACATAATATAAGATACATTATAACTTATTACTCATTTATTACTTGTTATTACTTATAACACATTGTATACTATGTTTTATAACTAACCAATCATTTATAAATATTACTTACTAACCAATTACTCATAAATATTCTATACCCCTATATTTTATTATAACTTATCATATATTGTGTACTATATTCTGTATTTTATTGTATTTTATTATAATTTATAACACATTGTGTACTATATAATACTTATAAGTGATTATGCAATAATTCTTGAATTTATTAGAATATAGACAGACTACTCCCTATCCCACGTATACCGCTCTTGAACTTCTTCGTGCTGTAAGTGTATACAAATAATAAGAATGTAATAATTATAGATATACTAATAGGCAACCTAATAATATAAGACCATCTCTTGCATACCACAGTAAGAATAGTACTAATTACGTATAACCCACTGTATATAACCATATCAGATGATAAAATATTCTTAAAGAAAGTCTTGAACCCACTGAAGAAGCAGAGAGAAGAAAGAATAAAAACAGAAAACATGGCAAAATTCCATCCAAAGGATTCTGGTGTTATAGGGAAAGAGATAATACTCATTAATGACCTAAAGAAGAAGAAGAATGAAAGTATTACAGATATAAATATGCAACCAATTCTCTGCCTCCATGAGAGACCCAAATTCTCCAGTAAAGAATTCTTCTCTGCCCAGAAGTCTGTATACGTAGATGGCAAGAGATCTGTACCTCTTCTCTTGAAGGTTTTAGCTAGTTTTAGTGTGTCAAGTGCTCCCTGCATTGTTTTGTCAAAATGCATTTTTTTTTATTTTATGTTTTACAATATTTATATATAACACAAAGTGTAATAAATAATGTAGTATAGACTAATTATAACGTAAATTATATTATAGACTAATTATAACGTAAATTATATTATAGACTAATTATAACGTAAATATATTATAGACTAATTATAACGTAAATATATTATAGACTAATTATAACGTAAATTATAGTATAGACTAATTATAACGTAAATATATTATAGACTAATTATAACGTAAATATATTATAGACTAATTATAACGTAAATTTATTTTTGTATTAAGTATCCTATTATTAGTGCAGTAATTACAGCAATTGTACTAATTATTGTTTGTAAGATGAGTGATGACCCAAATCTACCAATTATATGCAGTAGCATTATATTAATTATAAAGCACACTGACAGTATTAGTACATGTATTGGTTGTAGTGTAAGATATGATGGTTTTGTTGTAAGGAATGACTTAATTACTTCATTTCTTGTGTTTGCTAATGTTTTACTTTTTATTATTTGTTCCTTCTTCATATTAAAGAAAAATAAAATAGAATTTATAATTAAAATAATATAATACATAATAAGTAATAAGTTATAAAATATAATAGAGTATGTGTAATAAATAATAAGTAATAGAATATGTGTAATAAATAATGTATTATGTGTAATAAATAATAGAATATAGTGTAATAAGTTATGATATATAGTGTAATAAGTAATAGTATAGTTAATTGGTTATTGTGTAATAAGTTGTGATTATTGTGTAATAAGTTATAGTATATTTATTGGTTATTTATTATGTATTGTGTAATAAGTTATAGTATATAGTGTAATAAATAATAGTATATAGTGTAATAAGTAATGATTATTGTGTAATAAGTTATTGTTATTTATTATGCATTATGTAATAAATTATGACAGTTGTGGCTATAGTGTAATAGAATATAATAGTATATGTGTACTAAATAATAGAATATTGTGTAATAAGTTATTGTTATTTATAGTATAGTGTGTAATAAGTAATAGTTATTTATTGGTTATTTATAGTATATTGTGTAATAAGTTATGCTTTAATTTTTTCTTTTTTAGTTGGTACTTGCTGTTTATTGCACCTTTCTAAGTGCTTAGTGAATACGACACTGTTTACTTGTGTATTGCATAACTTACACAGTATTTTAATCATGCCCTGCTTCCTCTTCTTTATTTTTCCTGATGGTTTTAGTTCACTTGCTAATTCTTCTGTTAATATTCTGTATGCAAGTTCTTTAATGAGTTCTTTCATACGTAAATATTTTATATTATTACTTATTATACTATACGTATTATATACTTATTACTTATTATACTATACATCATATATATTATTACTTATTATACTATACATTATAATTATTACTTATTATACTATGCATAATTAATTATTACTTATTATACTATACATCATATATACTTATTACTTATTATACTATATGTATTATATTATACTATGCGTATTATATTTTACTTATTATACTATGCATCATATATACTTATTACTTATTATACTATGCGTATTATATTTTACTTATTATACTATATGTATTATATTTTATTTATTATACAATGTATTATAATTTTTTCTTTTCTTATGAGGGTTAAAGTGCTTGGAAATATTCCAAATGGCTTAAAACACGCGCTAGCACAGGAATTAAGCAAATACAACAGCAAATCTGAGTTATTAGAGCGTATTAACAAGAATATCTCTATTACACCAGGACTTAAAGTACAATGTGTAAAATATAATGAGCTATTTAGTAGAATATTTAATACACAATGTGTAATAAGAGTTGATCAAGTAAAAAGTGACCACAATTTAAATATTTCCTTAAAAGGAAATAAAAGTATTATAAAATATACTGGGTCTGTGTATAATATATTATATAACAAGATAGGATATAATAAGCTATGTGTAGAAAGTAATTTATTATTTTTAAAGGGTTCTTTGTTTTTTTATAAATTAAATAACGGTAATTCCTTTTATGGTAATCAAAATTTATTTAAAATATTTTCAGTAATTAACAATAATTTACAACGGTTTTTTATGTATAAATATTTATTAACAAGCGTATCCATTAGTAAAGAAAAGGTTTCTTTATCGGCTGAGTATATTCTTAACAGGATAAGCAAGGTTTCTGTTGAATTAGTCAGGGATAAGTCGTGTACAGTAAATAGTGTTGATTTAGTCGTAAATCCTGTGGATAATTTATACAGTCGTGTTTTGGGTTCAATCGGGTTATACCGGGAGAGTAATAATGATACTGGTGTAAAATCAGGTATTAATGCAAATTTTTATGGTAAGGGGATATTTCCTATTTGGGATTTAAAATATTTTATAAAGAAAGAAAAAATAACTGAAAATTATTACCATATTTGGAAATACAAATTATTTTCATTATTAAATTTAAAAAATGAAAAACCCACAAAAAATAACGGTTTTTTACAAAATTTATTAAAAAATAATTTAAGGTTCAATTTTCAATGTGAAGCAGATACAGAACTAAAATATAATACACAATTACTCAAAAGTTCTAGTAAAAATAAATTATTAGGCATATTTAACTGTTCTGTTAATAAATACAGTGTATTTATAGGGGGACTATTAAATAATACGTATAATTACATAAATACAACAGGAAATACCCATAAAAATGAATATTCTCCTGTACTTGGCCTATCATATACACCAAAAAAAAATATATTTATAGAAAATACGTCAATTTATTGGACATTGTGTAATAAAAAAGAAAAATCAAATATTCTGAAAAAAATTTGCACATTTGAAATAAATATAACGAAAGAATTTTAATAAAATATACGATACATAGTGTAATAAGTTATAGTATAAGTAATGAATAAATAATAAGTATAAAATATATGATATATAGTGTAATAAGTTAATAATATATGATGTATAGTGTAATAAGTTATAGTATAAGTTAATAATATACGATACATAGTGTAATAAGTTATAGTATAAGTAATGAATAAATAATAAGTATAAAATAATACGATGCATAGTGTAATAAGTAATAATATATGATACATAGTGTAATAAGTACTACTTAATGTACTATATGTAATAAGTTAATAACATATGATACATAGTGTAATAAGTTATAGTATAAGTTAATAATATACGATACATAGTGTAAAATATACGATACATAGTCTGATAAGTACTACTTATTGTACTATATGTAATAAGTTAATAATATACGATGCATAGTGTGATAAGTACTACTTATTGTACTATTACTTATTATACATACCATAATATATACTTATTACTTACTTATACTATGTGTACTTTATATTACTTATTACGTATTGTATAAATAGTTATTTTTTTATTAATATATAAAATATTTTTTATGGGTATTAATGAGCAGAGAGTGGCACTCACTGAATTAAAAGAAAGATTATCAGAAAGAATAAATAAAATGAGAAAAACAAGAGAAAAAGGGTTACCACGTAAAACAACTTCTATTTTCTTGTATTTTACTGGGTTTCTCATGACAATTAAAGATTTCGCTATAAGTCTATTTTTTATATTTTCATCAAATAGTACACATAGTGTCATAAGTAAAGTAAGGTACTTAAATATTATCATAGAAGAAACAAAAAAAATTAAAGAAGATTTAATGCTAGAACATAATACACATAGTGTAATAAGTAATGACACTATCTCAGCCAGTACTGATATTGATGTAAGAATAGGCAATTACACTGGGAATACAAAAGAACACTTGGCCTTATTAAGTGATAATGCTAATACAACGGTAGACCAAATATTCGCATTTAATGCTAATTATAAGCCTAATAAGCTAAATATAACGGGCAGATCAGTAAAGCCATGGACAAAGCAGTCTAAGACTGGCTTATTTATATTTAATGTGTTAATGGGCATAATTCATGTGGTAATATTGGGTTACTGGACATATGTAGTGTATAACGTAATATTTAATACAAAATATGAAAAATTTTTAATTGATAATGAAATTACCATAAATAGTAATAAATATCAAAAAATCATAGATAATCATAACATATTATATTGTGGTACGAAAGAGGAAGCAAAAAAAATAGAAAAAATATATAAAACCAGTGAGAATACCATAAAAGGAAAAAATACTATAAAAGGAAAATAACCGTTATAAAACTACCATAAAAGGAAAGATACTATAAAAGGAAAAAATAAAAATATTTTATATACACTACTTATTACTTAGTCATATTATATACAGTATACACTATTTATTACACATACAGTATATAACTTAGTACATAGTACACATTATTTATTACACATTGTATATAACTTACTACACATCATATACTACTTATTACACATTGTGTACTATATACACATACACTACATATTACTTATTACACATACAGTATATAACTTATTACACATATACTATACACCACTTATTACACATTATGTACTATACACTACCTATTACACATTTACCATTTAATCTTATTATATACACAGTATATTACTTATTACACATTTACCATTTAATCTTATTATATACACAGCATATTACTTATTACACATTGTATATTATGTCTTATACTTATTTTATATAAAATATATATTTTACTTATTACACATTCACTTTTACTTATTACACATTGTATATTTTATTTTATTTATTACACTATTGCTTTTATATTTTATTTTATATTTTATTTTTATGAGAGACCAGAAGTATAAACAAGATATTCTTCAGTGGATGGCTTGTGGTGCCACTGTATCTGCCGTATTATACGGTGTATATAAGTATATCACACAAGATAGGTCTACTCCTGAAGGTTTGAAGGATGAAGGTAATAAGTATTTCTTATTAAAGGATTATTCTAATGCATTATTAAAATATCTTACAGCACTAGAATTGTTTAATAAATGGGTAGAACAAGGAGTAAGTATAAACACCGGCATACAAGTAAAAATACTTAATAATATATCACAGACGTATTTTATAACTAAAGAATATAAAAAATCCATAGAATATATAGAAAATACGTTAAAAATCAAATCTATACATTATAATAGTTTTAAAAGACTAGCACAGTTAGAGGAGATAGACCAAGGATATGGTGATGTAAAAGGACTTGCTGTAATAACTGCATATTTAATACTGCATAAATCTTATAATGAAAAGGCCAGTAAAAATCAAAATATTAAAAAAAATGATGAAAATTTTGATAATGAAAATTTTAAATGGAATGAAATTTTAAGTAAAAAGATAGAAAAATTATCAATTAAAAAATCAAAAGAAATAACGGTTATAAAGAATTTTAGCGTATCATTTGTGAAATTAGAAGAAATTCTGACTATATTCAATGATCCATTACAGAATAATTCTGTATTTGGTGAAAAAACACAAGAAGATATAAAAATTTTAAATTTTATCAAAAATAAAAATTTTGATGATATAATTAATTACCTGAATAAAACAGAAAAAAATCAATTCTCAAAAAGGGTTTCTTTCATTGCTGGTAATATAAAATATATACGTAATGAGAATAATGAAGCAATTTCATTATTTAATATGTCAGATACAATATACGGTGACGTACTCACATTATACATAAAAAAATTAGAAAATTCAAAATCAAAATTTGATGAAAACAAAATTTTAAAGATAATGAATACAACGGATCCTATTGTAAGAATGTACGTTATACAGTTACATTTAATTAGTGATAATATAGGGCACTATTTAGCCAAACTAATTGAATTACAATCAGAAGAATTAATTAGTCTGCCGTATATAGCCAATATTAAATCGCAGTATTCCTTATACGAGTATAAAGAATCAATTAGTACACTGCAAAAAGCCGTTAAAATATTCCCAAATGATTTAAATTTATTATGCGCGGGAGTGGAAATTTTATCACAAGAATTTTTAAAATTAAAAATATCTGAAAAAATAACGGACATTTTTATAAAAAAAAATCAAAATTTAAAATCAAAATATGATTTATTAAAAAATATTTTATCAAAATTATCAGAATTTAAAAATTCTCCAAGAGCCGTTTTTTTCATGTATATAGGGTATAATTCATTAAATAATACTAAGTATATTGACTTATTAATGAAATCAGTTGATTTAGATAAGTATAATAGTACATTATTAGTACAATTAGGTCAGTATAAGATAAGTACAGGGGATCTAACAGGGTTTAATGACTTAGAACGTGCATGTAGAATATCAGTGGATGGGTCTGAGAGTATTTATAAGCTATTATATACGTATAGAAGTATATACAGCGTACAAGAGTACTACCCAGATATATCGAATATTGTAATAGATAATTTATCTACATAGTATAAAAAGTAATATATAGTACACAATATATAATAAGTAATGGATAATAAGTAATAAGTAATGGATAATAAGTAATAAATAATGGATATTAGTAGTATATAATATACAGTGTGTTATAAGTAATAAGTTATAAAAGTACTAAAATATAGTATACAATGTGTTACAAGTTATATTGTGTGTTATTTGTTATATATTGTGTTATATATTGTGTAATGTGTAATAAATAAAAATGTACATGTTTTATTATGTAATGTGTAAAATATTTTATTATTTAGTATACTATTGTTATAATATATTAATTAATGCGGATTGTGTTATTAATATTATTCTTACCACATATAAATATACAATTAATCATAATAAACCAAATAATCACATACACTCTATAATTATTACACATTGTGTTATTAATTATGTTAATAATATCAAATATTACTATAATTAATAATACACTGTGTAATATATAATGTAATATTATATATATAATATACATTGTGTAATATATATTACTTATTAGATATAGTATAATATATAATAGTGTAGTAATAATTATAATAAGTATAATAAATATATTATACATCGTGTTATTTATATAATATATTTTACACAATGTGTTATATATTTTGTATATACTAATAATTATACCACATAGTGTAATAAGTAAATATACATTTAATAATAGGTAGTAAATATATGATGGTATGTCTTGTAAGTAAAAAACTTTTACAAGAATAGAAAATAAAAAATAAAAATAAGACTGTAAAAATATTAAAAATATTAAAAAAGGAGAAGAATAATAAATTATAAATAATAAAATATTTAAATCATTGTGGTATAATAAATGTAAATTACAGCGTACAATAGTATGATTGTGTGATATTATGATACATTGTGTATTAAATAATGATATAATACAGAATTTGCTAATAATATGCAGATTATTGCATATTTTTAGTATAAATAAGAATATTCCTGTTGTATAATTAGGGAATAACCTTAAATTTATAATTCTATTAAGTGTAGATAAGTTATCCACTCTTCCTTCATTAATTAACATTATAAAATATTTATTACACACTGTATACTATATAATAATTATCACACACTGTATACTATATAATACAACTTATTACACACTGTATACTATATAATATGTGATATAAGAATGATTTATTAAAGTATAATATTATTGATGTAATATATAATATATACTGTGCTATAAGTTGTTGTAGAC